GGGGAGGTCAGTGCAGTCCTGAGGTGTGTGGGGGGAGGTCAGTGCAGTCCTGTAGGGCGTGTGGGGGGAGGTCAGTGCAGTCCTGGGGTACATGGGGGGAGGTCAGCGCAGTCCTGTAGGGCATGTGGGGGGAGGTCAGTATAGTCCTGGGGTGTGTGGGGGAGGTCAGCGCAGTCCTGTAGGGCATGTGGGGGGAGGTCAGTGCAGTCCTGGGGCGTGTGGGGTGAGGTCAGCTCAGTCCTGTAGGGCATGTGAGTTGAGGTCAGTGCAGTTCTGTAAGGCATGTGGGGCGAGGTCAGCACAGTCCTAGGGCCACAGGGATGGCTGGGGACAGCTCAGCACAGTCCTGGGGGGCACGGGGATGGCTTGGGGGTGGGTGGTTCTGACTCAGCACATCCAAGCCCCAGCGATACCGGCTAAGAACGCCTCTCGTTGGGGCTTTTCTTTCCCCACACGTCCCTAGGAATTCGATCTGAGATCCTGGCGCCTAGGCCTTATTTTAACGTGTAGCAAAACAGCAGCAAAGCCCCATGTGCAGGAACTGAAAGTACCCACACTAAAGCTTTCCTGTTCACAACACAAGTGTAGGCGTGCAAACACGCATGGCTCTGCTGGACACAGCCCGCTGAGCCACACTGTGCAATCTCAGAGCTGTCTGGTGTTGTGTGGGGTGAGCTCTGCGCAGGGAGAGCTGAAGCAGTAATCCTTGTACTCTCATAACTGGGCCACCCCCTTAAAAAACTGACCTTTATCGACTTTGGTGAGGTACCTCATCAGCTTAGGTGGGGATGCGTAGTTTAAACAATAAGGAGACGCCTTTCCCTGATTCTCAGTGCCGTGAACGGAACGCGGCTTTCCCTTCGTGAGCTGCTGCTGCTACCCCCCGAGATGGCGTTTCCTTCATTCTAAGCATTTTTAATGCCCTGTGGTTCCCTCCGACCCACGAGTGACTCCACGTTTCCACGCGCGGGTTTCTGTTCGCCTGTGTGTGTGTTTCGCGTGGTTGTCGGTCCACACTAAGTACACTATGACTGGGAATAGGTTCTACATGGTACAGACCCTCCAGAGCTTCTGGAGAATTCCCTATGGTCACCCTTCACTGTGGACTCCGCCCTGGGGACTGGTGAGAGCACAGACGGGGGCTCTGGGAGACAGCTCACGTCCTCCTCACACCCCTTTCCCGACTCAGCTGAGCAGTCCTAGTGGGGCGTGGGTTCAGGGCATTCTCTCCCGCGCCCACTCCAGAGTGTGCTCACCTGGCCCCAGGGACCCTCTCTCCTGGCTCCAATGGCTCTTCCCCCTGTCAGGGCCACACAAGGCCACGCAGGGCTTGCTGCCCAAGACCTCTGGGCTTTCCTTCCCCGGAGACCCCAGTCCGCCGGCAGGTTCTGCTGCAGGGAAAGATAAGTGACCCCAGGAAGTTGACCCCTGAGTCTGGCCCCCAACATGGAACAGGCCCTTCCAGCTCCTGATGTCCCCTACTGTGGGCATGTGCAGGGCCAGCTCCCAAGGGCTTGTCCCAGGCGCCACCTGGGGCCCTTCCCCCAGCTCAGCTTGGAGTTTAGCTCAGCAAGTCAGGTTTGTGGAGATGCTGACAGCATCAAAGAAGCTTCAAAGACCAGATGCGCAGCCAGAAGGCATGAGCAGCAGACCAACCCTCAGGCCTCCATACTGACAAATAATGTGAAAAAAGTAAAACTCTATTCCGATTTTATTTCCTCTTCTTAATATCAAGAAAGCATGGTCTTCAGAGCAGAAGTCATGGGGCTGACTGACTTACCTGCTGGGCTGGCCCGTGCATCATCCACGCTGGCCCTGCCACTCTTGGGGCTCTCAGTGCCCGGGACCTCCCGGAAGAGGAACTCCGGGATCTCCTTCACCAGCTGCACCAGGGCGGACAGGGGCAGGCGGCACGTCGGCAGGCCTCCTGCAGAGCGGCAGGCTCACCGTCATGCCCAACACCTGTCCAGCCTCTCACCAAGGCCCCCGACGGGGGAGCAGCCAGGGAGGGGCCGCTCTCCCGAGGTGGGGTTCACCCGGGGCTCAGCCAGGATCAGGCACGGGGGGCTGCCTCCTCCATGCCCCCACCCCGGGCCCCATGTCCACCACCACGTCCCCAACCCCCGGCCGCAGGGCCCACGTCCACCATCACACCCCCTACTGCAGGCCTTGGTGAGGGCCTGGGGGTGGGGCACTGTGTGGGGGGCTGCTCTGCACAGGCAGCCAGGAGGTGAGCTGTGGGCTGGTGGCAGGTGGACCTGAGGCTGGGGGTGCTTTCCAAGCGACCCTGGGTTCCTCCAGCACTTCTCAGTGAAGCAGACGGTACTCTAATGGGCTCCCAGCGGGGACAGGGTATGCGGTGAGAAGGGGGTGTGCCAAGGCGAGGTGGGAAGGCGGGGTCAAGCAGGGTGGTGGTCACAGTGTCACCGAGGAGCCAGAGGGCTGAGGACCACATAGGGAGCTGTGATGCCCAAAGGGGCCCTGCCTGCCGAGACGACTTACCCCAGGGGCCTCCCTGGCCATGGGGCTCCTGCTCCTCATCAGCAGGGCTCCTGCCCCCCATGGCTCCTTCGGGCTCCGTGGGTGACAGGAAAGCAGAGAGTGGGAGCAGCTCAGCAGTCCCTGGATGAGGAACGAGGGGAGAGTAACCCTGGGAGTGGAAGCTGGTCCCCACCTCCCTCCCACTAGAGCCATGTAGGTGCCACGGTGCTCATGGGACATGAGGTACATACACTACATGTGACATATGTGACATGCACGTCACGACATAGGGTGCATACGACGTGTGTCTGCATTACACACAGTACACACACACCACGTGAGACGTGGGTTACAGGGGGCACACATTCTGTGCTACACGTGTTACACATAACATATTGCAGGTGTTACGTGTGGCACGTGTTACATACAGTGTACAAGTCACAGATAATACACGACACTTGTGCTACATGTGTTGCACATGTCACACAACACATTACAGACAATACACGTTGCACACGACATACACATCCTGTGTGAAGCGTATAGTACCCGTAACACGTGCTCCAGGTGGCATACGTGGCACACATGGCACACGTGTTGTAGGTGGCAGCTGCGTTCCATGTGCAATGCACGTTACATGCAGGTGCACGTGTGATGACCCAAACTCAGACCAGCATGCTGTCAGACCCCCAAGGTCTTCCTGCTGAGAATTTTGTGGGTTTGTCAACCCTGAGCATGCTTCACCCCCACCAAATGCACTCGTGACCCCCACGACCTAGAGGATAGTGCAGCTGCCTGCTCAGCCTCAAGGCCCTCAGGTCCTGGAACGCAGTCTCCTTGCCACTTCCTGTGGCTCAGGCCATGCTGTGTGTGTGGACTGTGACAGGTCACCCTCCCCAGCACCCTGGGCCTCACCCAATGAGGCCAACGCTGCGTAGTTCTCCCGCATTACGTCTTGGTAGAAGACCCTCTGCCCCTCCTCCAGGAGCCGCCACTCATCCCGCGAGAACCGCACAGCCACGTCCTTGAAGGTTATGCGCACCTGCAGGCACAGCTCAGGGTTGGCTGGCTCCATCCCCTCTACCTGGGGACCTGCTGGGAGAGCCCAGGGTGGGAGGAGGAGATAGGGGGCGGCAGAGGTCTGCAGGAGAGACAGCCCTGTGCCCCCTGCAGCCTGGGACCCCAGCCAGCCCTAGATTCACCAGGACAGAGACTCATCAGCATTAACAACAAAAGTCCCCTTTGAATGTACAAAGACCTGGGGCCCTAGCACCGTGGATTAAAAAATAAGTTTACAACTTGTACAACGCAAGGTCATGGACGCTCCACAGACACACCCAAACTCCCTGAGGGACCGAATTGCTGGGCAGAGGGCTGTGGAGACCATGGTCTCGGGGAACATCTACCTCAATTGGCATAACACAGTTTATAAAGAAAACGCTCTACATTCTACCTTGGTGAGTAGCGTCTGGGGTCTTAAAAGCCTGTGAACAGCCATCTAAGATACTCCACTGGTCTCACCCCTTTCGGAGCAAGAGAAAATGAAGAAAACAAGATACAAGGGACAGATTAGTCCAAAGGACTAATGGACCACAACTACCACGGCCTCCACCAGACTGAGTCCAGTACAACTAGATGGTGTCCAGCTACCACCACTGACTGCTCTGACCGGGATCACAACAGAGGGTCCTGGACGGAGCTGGAGAAAAATGCAGAACAAAATTCTAACTCACAAAAAAAGACCAGACTTACTGGCCTGACAAAAACTGCAGAAACCCCGAGGGTATGGCCCCCGGACACCCTTTCAGCTCAGTAATGAAGTCACTCCCGAGGTTCACCATTCAGCCAAAGATTAGACAGTCCCATAAAACAAAACGAGATTAATGGGGCACAACAGTCCAGGGACAAGGACTAGAAGGCAGGAGGGGACAGGAAAGCTGGTAATAGGGAACCCAAGGTTGAGAAAGGACACTGTGGATGTGTCTTGGGGTTGTCAACCACTGTCATAAAACAATATGTATACTAACTGTTCAATGAGAAACTATGTGTTCTGTAAACCTTCATTTAGAGTACAGACAAAAATAGTTAAAAATACATAAATAGAACAAATTCGATCACATTTGAAAGAAAAAAAGTTTACAAATGATACTGGTTTAAGATGACAAAAAAAAAAAAAAATCCATGCTTCATAGCGAGTATGAGACATCATCAGGAATCAAGCAAGCAGCATTTCTGTTGTTCCTCTCATCTCCACCTCGGAGCCACGTCTGGGACTCAGGCCTCAGACTGAGGCTTGGTGCCCTCCCACTGCATGTGGCCGTGACTACAAGTGAGCCACTAAACCTCTGCTTTTGAAGATTATTTTTCCCAAGTCAGGTCTGTAGCGATGGATCACAGGAGTATTTGCAACAAACATTACCATTCCCAGTAACCCTTTAATGAAAACTGAAAGTCTAACAGCCTTTTAAAGATGGTGATGGAGGGAGGTTCTGAGTACACAGAATGCCCCCTCAACCACCTCTACGCAGGATACTCCCGGCCTGAGGCAGGGGGTGGGGAGCAGGAACCCAGCACAGCCAAGCTTTGGTCTCCACGAAGAGCTAGTTTTAATGGGGGGTCACCAGCAGGCAGCTCTTTGTTCAGTAGAAAACCAAAACCAGACTCTGCCATCAAGTTGACTCTGACTCAGAGTGACCCTACAGCACAGAGTGATACTGCCCCGTAGGGTTTCCAAGGAGTGGCTGGTGGATTTGAACTGTTGACCTTTTGGTTAGCAGCCGAGCTCTTAACCACTGTACCACCAGGACTCCTTGTTCAGTAAACTGGCAACAAATGTTCTGTATCCTCAGCTGAAAAGCTGCTCAGTGCTGCTTTCCTGTCCCACTGGAGATCTACTAAAACAATATCAAGGTTAGTGTGCTCCCAGGAGATCCGAGGCCAGGAGTCTGTATTTTCAGACTTCCCGGTGATTCTGCCACACTCTAGGTTTTGAACTCAAGGCAGGCGCTCTGGAAATGAGAACCACATGGCACCCTGACAGGGCTGGCCCTGAGCTTCCTAGGCCACAGAACCAGAACCCACAGGAGCCACCGCAGCAGACCGTTAGTGCTGCTCCACCCAGCAGGAAGCCCTGTTCCACCTCGGGGAGATTCCTCAATTTCTAGTTGAATACCTTGTGTCCAGGGCGCCCCGCCACCCCAGCCACTGGTCCTCCGCTGGCCTGGTCTGCGGTTAGGAGGTTCTTGGCGCTCAGGCTGGGGAGAGCTCAGGATGAAGGCTTGGATTCGGGTGCCCTGGCCAAGCTACTGAACCCCCTGGGGCCTCTGACCACCTATCTCTTAAGGGCATTACGAGGACTACAGAGGTAATGTCAGCACAAACACGGGGACACAGCGAGCCTCAGTGAGTGTGACTGCAGCCAGACCTGTCCACAGACCCTCATTCCGGGGCAGCTGCCCTCACCACACAGGACGGGCTCCTCCACACCCCCTGGTCTTGGGCCTTCATCTCTGAGCTAAACGTATCCAGTTCCCTCAAGCATACTGAAAGACGACCTCCAGGACCCCGATGACTATTCTGGGACACAGCTCTTATAAAATGCCCACGGGCCGACTGTGGCCAGGGCTGGCGTTCCAGTGGTTTCCCTCTGCCCAGGAATGTGGGAAGAAGGAAAAGTCTGCGAGAGAGCGAGGAGAACGCCATTGGCTGGAGGTCTGGACCCCCCTTTCCCAATCCTCATGTCCCCTTTGAGGCTATTGAGACCCCCTCCCCAACACTGATCGGGGCAGATCCAGGACTGTTTAACTCACTGCTGCTAACGTTGACCCTCCAAATACCCTCTACTGTGTCTCTAACCCCGGCATGAAAACCGCGCTTCAGGACCCAGAGGCCCCCCACCTTTCCCGGTCCCTCCCAGTCTATCAGACCCTGTCCTCCAGGCCCCCCTTGCTGCCTTCGGGTGCCTACTGCTGCCCCTGCTCCCCTCTACTGCCCCTGCTCCCCTCTATAGCTCCTGGGGTCCCCCCTGCTGCCCCCGGGCCCCTCTACAGCCCCTGGGGCCACCCTGCTGCCCCGAGTCCCCGGAGACGAAAACACGGTCACCCCTTCGCTGCTGCTCCCCGACCCCCGCCCGGGAACTTGTGATGGGGGAAGAAGAAGCCTAAGTCCAGGAAGGGGCCCAGAGGGCCGAGAGGCTTGGTGTCTGCGTTGGGGGGCGGGGGGGGGCAGGGGAGGGCCTTCCGAGGGCCTGGGTCTCCTGGCCACGAGCTGCGCTCCGCAGAGCCGACGTCTGTCTGTCCGCCTGACCGGGATTGCCGGCCCCACCTTACCTGGCGCGCCATGCCCAGATTTGGCCTCCCGCCAACTCCTCGGTGGACGCAGCTTCCGGCACGACAGCCCCAGGCGCCGTCTCCCGCTTCCCGCCCTGGTGCCTCGCATCCCCAGGAGTGGTGGGCCCGCCCCGCGCCGCGCCCCCTGCCCAGCTGGGAACTACAGCTCCCAGAGAGCACCGCGGCAAGACGGGGGGGGCGAGGAGGGGGGAGGACTACGCCTCCCAGAGGGTTCCGCGACGCCTGCACGAGAGAGCAGGTGGGCGGGTCCAGAGAAAGAAGAAGGGAGAGGGAGAATGGTGGAAGAAAAGAAAAGGGTCAGAGTAAAGGGTGAGCTCAGGGTGGGGAAAACCCTTCAGTGAGCCTAGCAGCGCCGACACGGCAGACAGGGTTGAAGTCAGAGGACTACACCTCCCAGAGGGCCCCGCGGCGCTAACGCGAGGGGGGGGGGCGAGGGCGGAGGACTACAACTCCCAGCGGGCTTCGGCGGCGCTGGCGCGGGATGGGGCGGAACTGGGGTCAAGATGGGGCGGTGTCGGCGTTGGGGGCGAAAACCTACAACTCCCACGGGGCACTGCAGCGCCAGCCCGGGCAACAGGGCGGAGACGGGGGCGGGGCCGGCACGGGAGGCGGTGGGACCTGCCCAGGGTTGGCGGGGGGAGAACTACAACTCCCAGAGAGCACCGCGACGCCGGCTCGAGGGGCGGTGGCTTCGCCTCGGCGCTGAAGAGCTAATTTGCCCCTGTCCGTAATCCCCGAGCCCCGCAGAAGCTACTCTTATCCGCGCGGGGCCCGGCTCCCAAGCCTGCGGGTGTGCGGCCACTTCCCTTCCTCACGCACTCACTCATCCGTTTTTGTCTCAGCATCTTCTGAGCGCCCTACGTGCCAGTGAGAACGCTTGGACCCGAGAGGGTTTGGTCCTTTCTCGGAGGGGGCGGTGTCGGGGGGCGGGGGTCTCGGAGGTGGGGCCTCCTGGGGATGGGGGGTCTGTGGGGCAGGGGTTTTCTCAGCTGACGCTCAAGTCTTTCTTCTCGGCGCCCTGGCTCACCGGCGCCTTCTCCCCATAGCACCTACCCGCATGTGCCCGCGTGTTGCTACTTCTGTCTGTTCTGTCCCGTGTGGTAGCCCCCGCAGCTCCTGGCCTGCCGTGGGCCTCGAATAAACGTGTGATGAGTGAGTGAGGCGAGGTCTGCCCTTTCCCTGTCCCCTGCGCCTCCGTACGCCTGCACGCAGGTGCGGGGTCTGGGGCGGGGGGGGGGGATGGCCGGAGTCTGCAGGTTTGCGGGTGAGCCTCGGGGAGAGGACCCTGGCCGAGCACGACAAGCTTCGCTTCCCTGTTTGCAGGGGACAACCCGTTAGAACCATTCAGAGAAGGTGGGCCTGGGGTGGGGGGATGAATACAGAGTCTGGAGGGGCACGAGGCGGGGGTCGGGCAGGGTAAGCGCTGCTCCGAGTTCTGAACCTCAGTGTGGACGCCTGCCCCGACAGAACCCTGCTCCGTGTCTCTGCACCGCACGCCCGAGGTCCTCCTCCTGTGGCTTGCCAGGGCCCTCCCTGCGCTTTGCTGTTGGTCACCCCCAGAACTCTAGGGTACCATACTAACACCCGTTGAAGTGGCCGCCAAAGAAAGACATGAGGGAGACCACTCCATCATGCAAGCAAAGCCCCCTCCTTCATACCCCCAAGGCACTGCTGACCCAGACAGGTGTGCCTAT